TGAGTTTGCAAACATCACACTTCCAGCATATCGAAACAGCGACCGACAAAAGTTGGACCAACACGTTCAAGGAGTTCTTGCTGAAATAAAAAGATCGCCGATTATTCCACTAAATTGGCTGTTCGTACCGTGATAATCTTATCACGAGTCAACTAACATATTCAACACAACAGAAATAGCTTGAGTGCTTCTTTACCATCACTCACAAAGATCGGTTTCAGATTTGTTCATAAACATTGTGTCTAGCACGAACAAGTAAACTAATTCCTTTTTTTTTTCCAAGTACGTGTGACTCAGTCGAATATGCCTTTGTTTCGCACACAGTTTTGTCCATATCTTGCGCCAATGTTATAAACTTTTTTATTATATATGTCACGTATTGTTTCCTTTATTAGATTATCATATAATTGCGTAGTTTATATAAACTGAGAATTCCCGGGTTTGTAATGTACGCTGAATACACTTATTAGTGTTTTTCCTTGTGTTCAGCCGATCAAGCAAAAACTGGCGTATTGAGCAAAACAACTCTCAGTAGCTTGAAAGTTTCCTGTTGATGTGTCAGCAACAGCGGATAGTNTGATTTTCCACGCTAGATATGGAAACTGCTTCTACGGTGAACGTCGAAATACAATTCATGGTGAGTATTTCATGCTGATGGACGACGAGTTTCGACAAGCTGTCCAACTGCTTCGTCGCGAGAGGGGAGGGAATATCAACATGTTCATGAACAAACAGCCTTGCTACAGATCAACGAAGCATCACGACAAACGACCTGATCTCAAGAAAAAAGAATGTGCACAGGACTTAGTAGATTTCTTTGCTGCACATTGCTCATCTCACGGCATCAGGTTGATCATAAATCTCTGCCAGTTGCATAAAGTCGACAGGGTGCCAACGCGGCCTTTCGAGAATGATATTCGGAACGCCCAAAAAGGAATGCGTAAGATGATTTCTGCCGGCATTGAACTGAAGGCCATGACCGAGGGAAGCTGGGAACAACTTGCAGGTCTAGCTAGCATTCAATTGCCAGAATATCAAGACAGCGAACGGGAGAAGTTAGATCAACACATTACCGAATTTCTGGCGGGTATAAAATTCGGCTTTAAGCTAAAACCGAGAAAGCCCCACCGTAAAACCCGCGTGGGAGCCGTAAAAAGACACTGAAAAAGATGATAGTCCTGACTGTGTGACTGGATCGGATGTTAAGAACGTGAGTTTAAAAACAGCGAATCCTGTTTAATCATTTAATCATCTTCACTACCGGCCCCCGGTTGGTAAAAATAACCCGAGGGAACCTGCAAAAGCATGTTCCAGCATTTTTTAAAACATCATTTGAAATAATTGTAAATATGGACTACTAAATGGGGCCAAATAAAGTGTGATGTTGTTGTTCCACTCCTTCAAATGTTCACTTTCACCCTGCGCAACTTTGTTATATGTCCGCTGAGAATCGAAATAATATCAGTACAGGGTAAACCATTTTTGACTTACATTTAGTTACCTTGTCAGTTACCAATTCTGTCAATTCAGATCTTTGGTACAAATTTATCGTTCCTTGTTTCATTACCCCTTACCTGCCTGTAAAAAAGCTCCACCCACCATTAATAACAAAGTTTGAAGAGAGCAGCCCATTTGTCGATCTATAGCAAGATATTGCAAATCAGTGAAACTCAACCCTAAACAAATGATATCCCGCGAAAATGCGCCCAACTATTTTGAAATCGCGCTAACAGCCGCCCAGGGTGGATCTAAAGGGGAGGGGAGAGGGGGTCGGAGGGTTCGATCAAACCCCCTAAGTTAAAAAAAAAATGAGAAATTATAATGCGCTGACTTGGCCTCAAGAATGCCGCAAATCCCATTTCCGAGGACCTTAATTCTCCATTTCAACATCCCCCACAATATACCTAGTTTGCCCCCAAAATTTTGCATAAGCATTGTCTTCAGTTTCTCTTGGGACAACTGTAATACCCAGGGGAAATGGGAAACAAAGGTTATGTAGAACTTTGGGGGCAAACAAGATGTATTATGGGGGATGTGAAAATGGCGAATAGGCCTTATCACAGCTTTTGACGCCAGCTTGAAAGGTAGGCAAAGCAGTGTTTGTACGGGAATCCGATGGCAAATAACTTTCCCCAAAATTGAATTTTACACAATTTGTGAATTTGGCTGGG